AGAGGGAACAGGTTAGCGGCCAGTGTTACCGCCATATACGCTCTATGATCTTGTTCTGGCGTTTATTTTTTCTCTCAGGTGTTGTCTTTTGTTGATGTTTTCTTCTGGTTTGAGCGTATGCGGGGGTGGGTTGCGTGGACGATCCTAACGGCTTTTGCCGAATTTATTTCCTGGCAGAGAATCGCGTACAAATTCGGGCTCTAGAGGGGTATGACCTGCCACATATCTGAATCGACTCTTCTGGTGTTTTTACAGTAGTCGGTCATTTCGTGTGGTGGTTAGTTGTGATTCAAGCGGAGTTGCATATCAACAATTTCTCTCTTTGGAAAGTGAGTTGAGCCGTTTGTATTTATTTTCCTTAGTCCATCATAATAACTCTGATTCTTTTGCCCGTTGCAAAATATTAACAATTATTGAAATAACTGTGGTTTATAAGCTTTTAACCAATTTAGGAATGACTGGTGGGGGCAGGGTCCCTTCCAGCCCCCCCCCCCCCGGTCCGCAGAAACACAAACGGAGTTTAATCCATGTGCATTCATAACAAAGAGACCTCCGGTCGAAACCGCCGGAGGGGACAAACGTCTCCAAAACACACCGCGGTAAAACATGAGCTCAACATATTATCTTGAGATATAAACGTGATGCACACAACCAACTAAAACAAACACAACGTGCTCATTGCAGACGTTTGTGGGGGACATTAGTGGGAAACATTTCCAGAAGGCTGCGGGCGTCGAAGAGAAGCACTGCAGGTTCACTCGGATACGAACCCTCCAATCCGCGGCAGCGTATATGGCAACAAAGTAATTCCCGACTGAAGCCGATACCCCCACGCTGACGGTGGGTGGGCGCCCACAAACGAAACATACTAACCTTCAAAGGGTCTCCGGTCGCGTGGCTCCCGTGTTCCACGTCGACGGTGGTGCCGGTTCAGTGGCAACTTTTTCCACCTATTTCAGCGTCGGCTGCTCCGACTTATTCCGCTGCGGACCCTCCGTCTGTCGGTCTGTTCGCAATCCCCCGCCTCTCTGCGAGAGGTCAAGCCCGCTGTGGCGACACAGCGCATATCCGGTCAGCACCGTCGAAGTAAAAGCTTTATGTGACGAACCCCGACTTGCATGTTTTGAGGTTTGGGGAGCTTGTGTGTGTGTGTATATATATATATATATACACACACACACACAAGCTCCCCATATCTAGCGTGCATCCTGGTTACACTGGTAGAGATTATTACGTTCACTATGATTATTATTGTTTTAATACATATGAAGGGGGATTTCAAAGGCTTCGGCAAGGTTGATTTTAGAATACAGTTTGAACAGTGCCGCGTTTTTTGTTTATGCAAGACTGTCTACATTGTTGCAACCCCAAATAATCCAGAATTAAAACGATGTATTTTGACGACAAATATTGTGTACATTGTTTCCTTGTACGCATAGCCACAATACACAACACACGCAATAGTTTGCTTTATTTTGAAGGCCGATTCCAGTCAAATCCGTCAAGTCAAGAGTTTGGTGCAGTTGTGTGGTATTTAACCCAGCAGATTCTGGCCTGCAGCCCTCAGCCCACCCTTCTGTCCGCGCTGATTGACTGCGACCAGATCCATTGGAACTGGTGGCATATTTAAAATTTCACTTTCAATGGAGTTCCTAAAATGTGCGAGTAGAAGCATCGCTTTCACTTAAGAGTGAAGTCACTGGTTATTATTTTCTGATGGGGCGTTCAACGTCCTAATCATTTCACGTTGGAAAATGTGTAGGATAAACATGTGAAGATGCTCCACTTCTCCTCAGCCGAGGTCTCTGGCAATCACAGCGGGGGGTCTCACCATCCAAGCAGGCTCATGAATGATTTAGTGCTCGGGTGATCCAGGAATACAGTCTGTATTGTCAGACCATAGAGACTGGAGATAGCCTCAGGCTACCAACCAAGTCTACCGTTCTACATGGACGTCTGCGGTGTAGTTTAATCGCTTCTCATTGCGCATTAGCGTACTTGTCTAAAAGCACACCCTGCTGGTCAAAGGAAGGAAGTGGTCCACGTGGGCATTGTGTACTTCAGTAACCTCTAGCAGTATAAGGATTGATAAGGGGATTTTTTAAAAGGTGAACAGTGGTTACTATTGGCGTTTTCTCCAGTTCAAATTTTAGATTAATTGATATTTGTTATGTTTATATTCAAAACCTTTAACCTATACAAGATAGCAGCCTTTAAATGAAACGCTGCCTACTGTAGAAGTGTTAAGGATGCACTATTTCTTTGACCCAGAATCTTGTTGAAGAACAGTTCCAAGTGGCGACTGAATGACAGTCTGAATTTATTAAAAGTATCTAATGATACATAGGTGAATATATTAATCACTAATACTTTTTAGTTGTATATCTCTAGAAGAAAAAATCTTGACTTCTGTCAGCTGAAACAAACGGTGGGCAGAGACGGAAAATTGTGAGCAACGCATCCTGATACATAGGCATAGCAAGCACATCTCTTCAAGGAAGAGAAATCGGCTACCTGGATCAATACAGCGCACATTGAAAAAATAAATTCTTCAAGTGACTACATTTAACATCAACGATGGTATTTTTGCCACATAAGAAGTCGGCACCTTTTCACTATAAGTAAGTAACACCTCAGTATGTTCATTGTATGAAAGTCAATAGCATAAGAAGGATTTGAAATTGTTTATTTCATGCAAATGTTTAATCATTCACTTAACACTTAAGTGCACTTAATAACAATTAATCATTCAGAAATGTTTAAGTTCAGTCAATTTTTATTTGAAGGGCTTGACATTACATTCTGTGCAACCAAACAATTAAAAAGACTTAATGATCATTTATTGTCACCATGAAACACATGTAGGGTTGCATAGGATGTCACAAGGATACATTACACGGGAGTTATAACAACGCTCCAGAGCTGACAGACTTTCAGAGGGTAAGTGTCAATCATCCACTTTCCTACTAGAAAGTCAGTCTGGATACATTAGCCACATTAAAAACAAAGCATAATTAATGCTTTCCAAACCAAGTGATCATTAGTGGACTCTTGCCTTTAGCTATCTGGCATAAATTAAATTTGTATTCCACTCCCAATGCTCTTCATGCCCTGAGCCAGGAGACAGGAGCGCTGCTGCCAAGCAGAAGCCTGTTTGGGAAGCTGAGGAGTTAAAGGCTTTTAGAGAGAGTTTCAAGCACTAGCCAATGACAGAAAACCATTTAGTTTAAATAAGCAAGGCAGAGCACATATCACTTGCTCTACTTGTGTACGAAAGTGAGATGTTTTTAATCGCCTAAAGCATCCTTTTGTACCAATATGTGGTTGAACACGCTTTTGAATGTCTAAATCAGAATATTACGGCAACAGTAGAGCATCACAAAAATGTATACGTAGATGAGTTTCTAGTGTTTATTAGTTCAATGAATCGATGAAGTAATCAATCAAGTAATGAATCACCACTTTAACGTCGCAGAGGCGTTTTTGACCCTGGGAGCTGTGTTGTATATTTTAATCCTCTTGCACTGTTGTCTTGTCTTGTCGTACTGTCTGCTGTGATGCACCAAGTCAAATTCCTTGTATGTCTGACATATTATGGCAATAAATGTTTCCTGATTCCTGATTCTTGATTCCTGATAGGTAAATTTCTCCGGGTAGGGTCTCTCAAAGTAAAGATAACAGGGAAGGGGCCGGACCAAGAGTGTTTCACTCATTTCATATGAATGGGCAGGAAGAGTAATGGAAACCGTAGCCGGACTATTGTGAGGGGCATTTGGCGAATACAGGCATGTTGCTACAGCCCCTCCGGTCCTAACACCACTGTGTGTTGGCCTTCACCAGGTTTGTCCCTTGCTCTGTTTGGGGTTTTTAATTGGTAGGATTTCTGGGAGGGTTCCAAGGGAGGGAGTTCCAGTATCTCAGTGTATTGTTGACCATTCAGGGTAACATAGAGTATTAGATACAGGCGCAGTGGTGCGGTTTGTCATGATGCAAGAGTTACACTGGAGCATATGAAGGCATGAAGTGTCTTTTTATGTTCAGAGATACATCGAGGTCTGATATTTCAGGTCCATAATTTAGTAATTATCTGTCATCTGAGCAACTCCACGCATTATGTGTGGATTTTACAAGGCACTTATGTGGCTTAGTTCTTTTTAGAGCCATAGGCTTGAACATGAAATACATGAAATACTTATATACAGTATATACACACTTTGATGTTGGAAGACTGGTGTGGTGTTTCCTGATAAAAGTTCAATATCTTCAATGAAACTGGAGCTTTGGCTAGTTGTTAGTGGGCCGTGCTTTGTTCTCTGTCGCTGTGAGGGAAATCACAAAAGGAAAGGTACACAAAGCAATTCCCATGTTGTCTTTTTGGAAGTCTTAAACAGCAGTAGCCAGGGTAGTGGTTGAAGTCTGACACAGACCCGGTACGGGTGTGGACTGATGGTGGGAGAGGTGCCAGTTTGTCTCCTGGTCACTGCGGAGATGCCCTTCAACAAGGCAGAGATCCCTGAAGGCGTTGTGTTGGGGAGACCCATCATTCTGACATCTCCTCACATTGATGCATATTCCTGCAAGTGTTTGTGTGTGTGTTAACCAAGGGAAATAACAAGAGGACAGATGAAGTTGTTTATAATTTCCCTGGATGAGCAGAGAGTGTGAAGAGCATGTATTCTCATCTCACCTGCTGTTGCCTCCTCCCTTGATGCCCGCAGGCTGGTTGTTCTGGATGAGGTTGGACCTGTTGACACTGGTGTTGATGGGAGAGGCTCCCGGCAGCTGGCCTGGTCTGATGGGCTTAGCTGGGTCGGACGCAGAGATAATGTGGATCACATTCTTTTTTTAATTTAAAGAAAAAATACATGCTAGCTGTGTCCCTCTATTCTGGTCCCAATCATATGCCAAGCTAACTGTCTCATGACTAGCGCCTTACGGAAAATACAGACATGTTCCATCCATGAGTATGTATGTGTGTCCACCTACCTATGGAGGCTCTCCGGCCCGTGTTTTTGGGCTTGACAGCGTCCTTGATGCGCTCCATTTCCTGGTCGTAGCGCTTTCGGTCGATTGCTGCGTTCTCTTTGGCCTCCCGCAGAGCCGCCTCCAGGGCTTTGACCCGCTCGGCAGTGGCCCGCAGACGCTTCTCTAGTTTGGGAAGCTCACTTCGAAGGTCGGCGTTGTCCCGTAACAGCTACAGATGACACAAAGAGTGAGAAGAAGTGGAGAGGACACAGAGAACACGTGGGCTTTAGATACATTGATCCTTTCTAACTAGTGCAGGCCAAAAATATTGTGCTACTTTACCTGCTTATGAGCTTTGGTGAGCTGCTCAAGGTTGCTTTCCAGGAAGCAGATCTTCTGTTTCTGCATTGTGGTGCTTTCTGCGTCATCTGAGTCCATATGAGCACTCTAATGTACCACAACACAAAACACTCGTCACCCATTCAGATCTTTCAACCAAGCAGGTTCAGAATCTGTGACCAACACCCCTGAATCCACAGCATCCCATTTGTGCTGAAATCTGATGATGAGTAGGACATTTCCGAGTTGTATAGCACCGCGGCTCAACCTCTGTCCTTGGAGAACAGGCGTATTGGCCTTTGTCCATCTCATCAACCCACAGCCTGAGGGCTGGAGACGAGCACCACGCCGAAAGCCCGGGTCCCTAATTTACAGCTGCTACCATTGAAGAATCACATGGCCTACTTATCGCAGATGCTTTCTGTTGTATTCCCCGGATTTATTCAAATTGAATCATGGTGCAAATGGCGCACGGCTGTGTTTGTCTAATGCCAGGTAAAAGTAAACACTAGACACAGAAAATCACACACAAAACCAGATCCCAGCGATGTCTAGAATGAGCAGCTTCAGAACAAAAGTGAGGCTGTGTACAATCAGATGGGGATTTTACCTTTTTGACTCGAGTGGTCAAGTCTTTGACAAAAAGCCTCCGGAGGTTGTGGAGCGTCTGCAGCTCTCGGGCCTGTGTGATAGCAAAAATCCAGTTAGAAAAAACTACACCCAGACGTAGTTCAGGTGGAGAGTTTTCCTTCCCTGCCAATTCTGCTTTCAGTTTAAAGCATTTGAACTTTTAAAAAAAAATTTAAAGTCATGTTGCACGATGTTGTTCTTGCACTATGTTGTCTTATCTGTCTTGTCGTCCATTGTCTACTGTCTGATGTCATGAACCAACCGCCAAGTCAAATTCCTTGTATGTCTATCATATTTTGGTAATAAATGTTCCTGAGTCCTGATTCCTGAACAACAACCAGATTAAAAATTATTACAAAGAGACAAGAGATGCAAAAGAAAGAAGCAAAAATACATAAAAACTACTACAGAGTCACAAAACAGTTACAAAAATGAGCAAAACTACACGAAAAGAACTACAAAAAACCCCCACAGTGACATAAACCAACACCAAAAAGACACAAAACCACTGGGAGAAGCGCAACAACAAGAAAGAGAGACTAAATAAAGTGTGTGTGTTGTGCTTTGCCCGGGTATCAGACAATGTTTAGCTCCTACCTAGGAGATGTAATGGGACCCATGAACATACTAGAGATGCTCTGTGATATCACGGCCCCTATTGCTCTAATGCAATGCCTATTAATATAAACTAAGAATATTACTTTACTGTAACAATAACTTGTGTCTAAAGTTATGTTTGGGATTATTCTTGATTATTCCTGAATTGGTGCTCAAGTGTTGTTTTATTATTATTAGAATAATATTGAAAATTACTTTTTTTTACAAAATCTATTTAAGTGCTTTGTAGTTTTTATGTAATTACTTCTTTGTACAAGAAAGCAACATTCATGACCATTTTATACTATGAGGAAACTAAGCAACATATAATAAGCAAAGAAAAAATATCAACATTAAAATTGATGTCAACTCAATTTAGCAAAAATATGCAAACATACTGAATGTTTTTATAGTTATTTTCTTTTCTCTAAAAGATTTCACTTCATTTGTATTACTGACATCCACATTCATTAGAATGCTTTATGCATTGCATTGTGGGAGAACAGTGTACCTCAACGGCACAGTGTAACACTGTGTCTGTGTTTTTTAATGTTTAGTATTCTCTATTATTTTTTTTCCAGTGAATGGGACACTGTTTCTGGATCAAAAGGTGGCTAATTGTTTCTACTTTGGGTTGAAGTCGCCCTCAATGGACATTCCGAACACTGACCACAGTCTCCTCTAGTCCCTTCAGGTCCTGTCTGGCCTGATCCCGCCTGTCCTGCAACACCCTGCACAATGTAAAATAAGTGTTAACAGGTTGCATGGTGCTATTACGGGAAACAATGGCCATTAAGTACATGTAGTTCTACGTATCTACATATATATCTACTATCTACATATAGGAGTTACGTGAGCTCTTGTAGCTGGCGGCTCTTCTCCTGATCTGCAGCCTTCAGCTTCTCGTGCTCCACCCTCAGCCTCTCCTGCTCCAGCACGATCTTCTGGTTCAGACTACACACACAACGGAATCAGTGCCCAAGCGCTGCGTCACATTTACAGAGAGAAAGTGTTCTTACTCCTGCAGCTCCGTCATGAGCTTCTCCTTGTGGTCCAGCTCGTCCCTCAGGCTGCCGATCTGTTTCTGATGGATCTCTCTGTGGGACTGGATCTGCTTCTCCACCGCGTCCTGAGCACACAAGCAGCGCACAGCTGGGGTCACAGTGTCGAGGACACAGACACTGAGGACACTGTAGTAGACGCAGTACCTTGATTTCATTGGCAGACTGGATCTCATTGTCCTTCTCCAGGGTGTTGACTTTCTCTGGAAGCAGACAAGCTGATGAGGTATCACTATCATTCTGTGAACATCTCGTGAATTGTCCAAACCAGGAAAAGCAGGGGGAAAGGTAGTTTTATTTTTATTTTCAGTGAAATAACTTCTAAAATGTTGGCGTGTAAATGTCATTGTCCACAATTTTGTTAATGAGTTTGTGTTGAATAGCAGAAGTAGCCACTTGGATTTAACTCATCAATGACTTCTGATTGAAAAAAATGGAATTAGTTCAAATATTATAGCAAAATAATAATTTCAACAAATATAAAATGGGATACCATTGCTTATAACTTATTTGAGTTCTTATATACTTAAATACAACCTCTATCTGTTTTTTTAAAGATTGACAGAGCCTGTGTTTTTCTTTTTTTTATCAATAAATATTAATCACAAAAACTGCAGGATAAACAGGCCAAGACTGATTTGCTAGGAAGACAGACATCTACATCGCTGTGCATAACATGGAATGCACAAGCCCAAATGCTCGATGACGACCATCACAGACAAAACAGTGGCTGATGCTCACCTTGGGCTTTGATCCTGACTATTTCCTCATTTAGAGAGTCCACTGTTTCCTCCAACTGTCTTTTCTTCTGCTCCACATTCTGGAGGCTGTCTGTTAGGGACTTGATTTTGGCTTCATGCTAAACGACAAATCAAAATGTATAAACTGTCCTCTGTGATTAAAAGTTTAAACGACATGCAGAAACCTGTCAACTATCTAAGCTGCTGTTTGATTTATAACACCAAAATCAAGCTCTCTAATTAACTGCCACCTTTGTCACTATGGAGACGAGTATTCATGATGGCGGGGGGCGGTTACCTGGGAGACTCGGAGCTGGAGGGCAATCAGCTCCATCTCTGTCGCCTCAATCTTTTGGGTGCTCTCGGACCGGGAGCTCTCCAGCTGTTTGCTGTGCTTCACCATCGCCTTCACCTCCGACTTCATCTTGCTGATGTAGAGACGAGCCACGGTGAACTCCTCGTCGACGAGGCCGCTGCTCTCGTGCTGCTGTGAGGTCAGAAAACAGCGATGGGGTCCCAGAGGATGTGCTTTGTGTCAATTTGTCTTTATCCAAAACATTTTAATTAAACTTAATACATTTTTTAATCAACAATTAATCAAAAACCACTGAATAACAATTACAGCTAATTGTAGAAGAAATGACCGACTAACAAAAGCTAGGGTTGGTAATCTTCATATATATTTTTTAATTCTCTATACATCTAGACACCAATAAATAAATCACAAGGTCTGCCAAAAAATCCCCACAGGGTTTGAAGGGACGGGCTCACTCTAGAGCTGGCTAGACTAATCGCAAAATACCTTGTTTTTCTCTTTTCTTTTGTAAAGGAAATCTAGTCTACTCTTAATAGTTGGACAGAAAAACACGTCTTGCAACGCCATCGGCTATTGTCTGACGACAGTTTAGCTTTGACACTGTTTCTCATAGTCAGTGGCTGTAAAAACAGACAATATAGTTGGAGGTGCTTGAATACAATGTGTATGATGAACGCATCCATTATGAAAGGCAACCAAATCGAAGTTTAACATTATGACAGGATCTACTCATTAACAACCTGTTAATAGTCTCTCTCCATCTCAAGTTAGTCACCAGACTTTCACCAATGTTCAGAAATGTGCAGGTCATTGTTCCTCTGCTACGCTCATGAATTATTTACAGGTCTTTCAAGTATTTTGTTATGTAAAACGTCATGAACGCGGGTGGTAACCTTTATGTCGTTGCTCCCCAAGGCGATTCCTATCTCAGCCAGGTCTTTGAGTAATGATGACATCATCTCGGTCACCCTCTTCTTCTGATGGTTGGTCATCTCCTTCAGCTTCTGGAGTTCACAGTCAATGGAGGCCAAGGAGCTCTAGTGGTGGAGGAGAACACAAGTCAATACAAACCGTACAAGGTTATCACATAAGACAGGTGCTATTTAAGGATCCACTCAGAAATACCGATTTCTCGTTGAGCTCCTCGCTGAGGGCCTCGAACTCCTGCGCCTTGTCCTCCACTTCCTGACTCTTCTGGTCGTAGTTTACGGCCAGCTCCTCCAGTGCCTGCAGCACCTCCTTCACCTCCTCTTTGGAGGCTTCGTTCTCCGACAGCAGTCGGCTCAGTTCTGTCTGCAGGGTGTCGTGGTCTTGGCGGGACGAGGACAGGAGCTGCGGGTGAGGACAGGGAGCGAAAATAAGACAGTGATGCTCAGTCGAGACTACGGAAGTACAAAATACATTTCTTCAGTGGCTAAAGAAAATGTTAAATCCGTAAAGGCTCCACTGTCGCCTCCTACGTGTGAGTTACAGTCTGACCTCTCCTGCAGGGCCACTAATGGTCCGCTATCAGCTGTCAGACTGGGTTTGTACTAACAGGAACAGCTGGAGGGGCGGAAAGGAGGCGGGTTCTTTCACCTCCTCCTGGTCCAACATCTGCTGCTTCAGCGACTCCAACAGCTGAGACTGCTGGTTGATCTCGTCGTCCTGACGGAGCGGGAGAGGGAGGAAAAGAAACACTAACGCACTCATTACTTGTATATTTCCAGTAGAAACACCAGCAATACTGAACAGCAGTCAATCACGCCATCTGCTGACCAATAGAGACACTGCACTACTAAATTCTATTCCTTCTTATGGCTTGACTGTGTAATTACCTTTTTATTTTACTTGTTTGATTGTGTTTTTGTACTCACATAACTGTGGCCTGTTTGTAAGCACTGTCCACCATATGTGGCTGGTTTTGTTGAAGTTTGTGACACGCATGACCATCACCACAAAGAACCCATTTATGTAGTATCACTATGAACATATGCTGTAAAATGATTTAAAATGTATCAGCATGTCTTGTCTAAAGGGATGTGCAGCGTAGTAGTAAACCATTAGCAGAACCTTACTGATACATCTGCATGGTTTGAACTGTCTATGGTCCCTTTTGAATAAATAAAATAAAATCTAGCATTTATCACTAGATGGGATAAACAGTGGGTGGCTGTGTGTCATGTGAAGCATATTAATATACAAAACATCATATGTTCATGATAATTTGTTTGTTTTAGCGGCACACGTTGTCTTGGTTCCATATTTTATCGCAGGAGCTCCGTTATGTTGATGCAGTAACGAATTGTTGCACCTGACATTGATGTATTGTTCGCTTCACAAAAACGTACTCTCGCACCCCCTGTGAATCCCAACATGAACTCATCGCATGAAGAAAACCATTGTGTGCGTGTGTATGTGTCTGTGTAAACTTAACTTAACTTAACTCACCTTATCATCCATTTCTTTGTAGAGCTTTGCCATTTCGGCACCGTACTGCTTGGTCTCTGCCTCGGTGAGTTTGACCCCAGGGAGGGGGGTCAGGGCCGGCGCGGGGGCCGTCTTATCGTTGTTGAGCGCGCTGTCCAGAGCCTGGACCTCAGCTTGGGCCTTCTCTTTATCGAACTGATCCTCCACCGGGACGCTCTCTCCTGCAAAAGGTGTGGGGGGGGGCAGAAAAGTTTGGACATAAGCCCCAGTATCTGGTGGGGACTATGATGCCCCCACTTCCCCTCCACACACACACACACTCTTCTCTAGTCTAGTCTTTAGATTTATGTAATGCAGGCGTGATCATGTGAAGACAGCTACACCAGACGTAGCTGATGTGGAAACAAAGGACTCCTTCTTAAAGCTACTTTTCAAGTCCAAAATAGGACCAATGTGTGACTCAGCTCTTTGGACTGATAAAAGCTCTCACATCCACTTTGTTCTTAGCGTACTTTCCATCTCATACAAACATTTTTAAAACATCATAATTATCTTTTATTTAGAGATCTAACTAAGTAGGCAGAATTCAGTTATTTGTATATATATATATATATATATTCTATATGTCACAATGCGGCGTGTGCAGCCGCTGTGTAAGGGTCCTCACCGCTCCTCCAGCGGTTAAGCTCGGCTTCCAGCCAGGTAACCGTGTTTTTCAGTGTCTTATTCTTCTCGTTCTCTTTCTCCCATTTCTTCTTCCACTGCTCCGCCGTCAGCTCCACGTTCAGGCTCACGGTGTTCTTGATGGTCTTTGCCCTGGTAAAGGAGGATGGTAATCACCCCTAGAATCAGCCTCTGGGGTGCAGCATCACAGTCCTCGTTTGTACCCTGAGAGGATGGTGGTTAACAGGCTCGCCCAGAACGCCGGGGGAGGGTGTCCCGTGTGAGATACCCCACCCATGTAGTGCTGTCAAATTCATATCACTTATTTAAAAGATATTTTCGGGACAAGGAAAGAGCTAAAGCAAGCAAGTGGTTGGCTTAGCTTAGCAAAATAAAGGAAAATGATTCTTAAAAGAACAAGAGCATGATCCCTCACTGGCTTCCCACTCAAACAGGCCTGTTGTGGAAAACTGCAGTTATGGGTTAATGTCAGCTTTGTGTTTAATATCTACAGGGAAGTATCAAAATAAATATCACAGAACTGTTTAATCCTCGACATTTTAAATTGTCATCGTTGCAATGGAAGGACATTTAACTGGGTGTGAAAAATACGGATACAGCAGAAATAAATAAATAGTGAACATTCCAACCCACTCGCTGGATTGGCCTCATGTTACCAAGCAGGAAAATGATTCCCATCATTTGCATGTGGAGTGTGTCTGTACCTCTGCCCAAACATCAGGGTGGACCTGGTCTCAGCGTCATTAAAGGCGGACGGCGAGCAGCAGATGACCATGGTGGTCCGACAGTTCCCTCCCAGGGAGTCCTGCAGGATCCTGGTCATCTTACTGTCCCTGTACGGGACATATCCCTGCCAGAGGACACGCAATACACACAGTGTAAAGATATTTAATTTTGATGACACATCTTTATAATTTTTCAACATTTTTTTTATATACAATGTATGCATATTTATGTACCGTCACTGAAAACGATAAGCTTCTTTATTATTAAATTATATTGTGGATATAATTTAATAAAAATAAGCTTAACCCCTGTTTTTTTTTTACGATTCAGATCTATTTTGATTGCGTATAGTGAGGAATAATCTGGAGTCAAATAATAGGCCACTGTAGATGTGTTTTGACCTAAATAAACGTTGATCAATCAAGGCTCTCAGTGCTGGACTTTTCCCCCTCACATGTAGAAATAGAGCAAATCAATCAGTACAATCAAACTACTTATTACTAGGGGTAATAATTTAGTAAACATCAAACAGCAAACCCCCTCACCGAGCCCTCCGACAGGGCAGAGATGACATTTCCCAGCGAAGACAGGGACTTGTTGATCATCTTAGCCTCATCCAGCACCGTCCCCTCTGCTCCCGTCTTACCCACCTGTGGAACACACCAACACGGGATCACATCACGCCTCCCCCATCATCTCACAGAGGGTGGGGAGGTGTAGTGCCTAGTGCTAGTCTTCTCTTATTACAAGCGGATGGACCAATTACTATAATGTTCCCCTGTTGAAAGCAAGCAGTGTGATAATAAAGTTTCATTATATAAAGCAGTCAATGAAAACTGCAGGAAAAATCCTGTCTCCATCTGAAAAGTCAAGTCTAAAGGTACAACTGTAAGATATAGCAAGGATTTCAGTATGAAACATTTGACAAATGACTTAACAGCATCATCAACAGATTGTGCAAAGGTTAAAGTGTGTCTAAAAACAGCAACAACAGAAGGGAGCATGCTAACCAGCAAGCCCGGCTAAGGCACAGAGTGTGTGTACATTTGGATACGTTTGTTTATTGGATGGAATCCAAAGTGGCAGAAATATGAAAATACAACTATAAAAAATACAACTGCTTTTGGTTTTGTTCAGCTTTTAATAAGAGATGGTAGTAAATGTTGATTGTATGGATCCAGTAGCAGAGGCAGGTGGCATCATTGCAGCTTTTAAAATAAGTGATTATGGTGTCAGTAAAAAATATTATAAACCATCTTTCAAAAAGTGGGAGGCAGGGGGGAGGATGGAAACACACTTTCTCACTCCCGGCCAGGTCGACGAGGTACAGCTTGCCGGTGAGTTTCTGTCCTGTCTGAGAGTTTTCCTGCTTGATGTTGATGAGGAAGATGCTGTGACTCCTGGAGCTGTGCTCGTTCATGTCTGACATACAGATGCACACACACACACACACACACACACATAAACACACACATAAACACACACATGTGGGATACAAAAACAAGGCCAAACCACATTGGCTTCACTTACACTTGATGTAGGCTATAGGCTACTTTAGACAACAAACCTACAAGGACAAGACTCTCTGTGATCTATTTAAGATTGTGGTTTCTACTTATTACATACAGTATGTTACAAAGGCCCAATAACACTCGAGATCCAGACATACAGCAGCGTCTGTACAGCAGTACAGAGGTAGAAGGGTAGTTTTCTCTGACTTTTGTCCCCCTGGTGGGCTTGTGCACGCTTGCCTACTCAGATTCACTTCAGATAACAACAAACTTGTGCCAGGCATTAAGCAAGTGAATACATATTATCACTAACACCAGTGTCATATTGAATAACATTAATACAAGTTAAAATGTAGAAAATAAGTCAACTAAAATAGTAAAGTAATATTGTGCATAATGCCAAGATAAGTATAATCAATGATGTTTTTATACATATTTAAAAGATATCAAAAGGTCATAATCAAACGCTCAAAACTTCCAACAACTGTTTAAACATAATGAAAGGCACTTGTGTTTAAAATTAGTCATGGGCACATTTAACTTTCTCTATGAAAGGGTAAAATTAGAGATGTCATGAAGTCATGTCCTATAGTTGCCCACCATGGGACCACTATACTTTAGAACGCATCTGATCAGGTGTAAAATCAAAGATCTCAGAGGACCAAAGACAACAATTAAGCACAGCTTGGGTACAATCCAAACCGAGCTTGCAGGGATAGAAATCCTCTCTGTGGCACTCTGTGCGTGGAGCGTTGACTCCACTGTCCTGCTGTGCGTGTAGCACACAGAGGGTGTCTTGACTGAGGGGAGTCTCCCGGCAGTCAGGAGACCCGCTGAGCTTGAACCCGTGAGAGGCAGCGGGCCCGAAGGCTGCTCGGCGCCTGAACTCACTTGTGACAGCCACGTGCCTGCTGTTTTTGCCCTCGTCAATGGCGTCCATGACCTCCTCAGGACTGCTCACAAAGCGCTCGGTACACCCCTGGAGACAAACGCAATCACAAGGGGCTGTTGTGTTCAGCGAGGCGACTTCACGGAGGGACAACTATGAGCTGAAGAAGACGTCGACGTGCTAACAGTTTCAGAGAAAAAGCTACAACCAGAGAACCTATTTCCTTGTTTTCTCAGTCATTTGAATGCCGGTCCAACTATTTCAATAAAACTTCCACTTGAGAACGACACAAATTTTAAAAAAACATGTCATGTTGTACCCAAAGTAACATTTCTCAACATGTGTCCCACCTTGACATAGGGCACCCTGTTTTTGTCTTCGTGCACAGAGAGGTTGACCTTTGACACTGAGGAGGAAAAGCAGGCATCAGGTCTGAGTATGTTTGCATCGGGCTCTGAATGATGATGATACTACGCCAAGACTGAGACTTGACACGTACCATCTAACAAGTCCTTGATTTTGTCCAAGTAGATTTCAAAATATGAAACCTGTGAAAAAAAGTATCCGGTGAGTTTATATTATTATTATTATGATGTGGACATGCTGTTTTGGACCATCCAAGATTGGGAGGTTCACTTACTTTGATGTGGAACTCCAGGTTCTCATCCATGGAGTAGATGTAGTTGAAGATGTCGTCGACAATTCTGGGAATGACTCCCATCATATCGGAGTCGTGGAGTTTGCCCTTTAGGAGACACGTAGAACATAAGGCTGCATGGTATGTTAGGCTTTTCAGTCTCCATCTTCTTGTTCTTATGTTTATTGGTAACTAGAAGCCACGATAGAATTTTCCCCTCTACTTCCAGGTCCTTTCCCACGACCGTACACATCTTCAAATATTCAACAAATTTTGCTAAACCGGTATTTACAATCGACCACTTTAGCAGATGTGACGGCGGCCTGGTTTTGAGCAGGGCCTGCTGTTTGTGTGTGTGATGTCCCTTTGTCCTGTCTTGTAGGAGGAGCTTGTCAGTGCAACTGGGAGCACCTGGCCAGTCTTCCGGATATATTTCTAATACCCGTCTGCCGAAGTCCTCGCTCTCTTAGTTTTGCGGGAGCCTCCCGGCTTTGTTCACAGGAGCTTTTTTTTCTCTCATTCCGTCCTCTTTCCTCTTCCTGCTGGCTGAGCAGCTTGGAGCAGAGTTCCTCCGGGTTGACCTTGCTCTCCTCCAGCTGAGACTGGATCTGCTGCCGGCTCCGCTCGGCCTCCTCTCTGCCAGCCGAAGCCTGCTTCACAATTAATCTGTGGAGGCCTTCTTCACTATTTTCTCTTCTTGGAGGCTCTCACTCACAGAATTTAACTTTTACAGAGTTTTCTCTTTTATCCGCTTCTTACCAGCTTCGTTTAATTGTTCCTTCTCTGCTTTGGGCAAGCTGGCTGATGTAATTTCTGAGGCTGCAGTGTTGCGGATTGTGTCTCAAACGCTTGTCCTATTTGGCTTAAACGTTCTTTCAGCCCATCTCTCTCAGTAGATACCTCCATCAGAGTGATTTTTAGCTGCAGCCCTTCAGAGCTCATCAATTCAAGTCCGTCCTGTAGACACATTGTCCCACCGCGTGAAGTTGTTCTGGTCTTTTTGTCTTGTCATTTCCTGTTTTATTTTGAAATAGTAACTCTCCTCCTCTCGTGTGGGGCGGCACGGTGGCGTGGTGGTTATCACTGTCGCCTCACAGCAAGAAGGTCATGTTCTCCCCGTGTCTGTGTGGGTTCTCTCCGGGTTCTCCGGCTTCCTCCCACAGTCCAAAGACATGCTCTGGGGATCAGGTTGATTGGGGAGTGTGAATGGTTGTGTGTCTCTGTGTAGCCCTGTGATTGGCTGGCGACCAGTCCAGGGTGTACCCTGTCTCCTGGCCGAAGTAGGCTGGGATAGACTCCAGCCCCCCACGACCCTGTGTGCAGGATAGCGGTTTGACAATGGATGGATGGTCACTCTAGGCTCACCAAACATATCAAGCCTTGGAAACCATGTCATTGCATTCTGCCACGTTGTTTGATTTTGTATGATTTTTGTAAGATTTTGTTGATAGTCTTTTGCTTCCTCCGTGAGGAGTGATTTTGTTTTGATATTCTTTCATAGTGCCTCCAGTTTTAAGGAGGGTTGTTGTTAAAAGACGTTGCCTCTGTCAAAAGAGTGCTTACCCTCTATTTTGATCAAGTCTTGATTTTCCTCCTAGTGCCTTTTGTTTGATATTTTTTTGTAGCCTCACTTCATCCTAAACTCCTGCACCTGTGTCCTGTGTTCTGCCGGGTTGTGACACACACAACACCTAAGAGCACCTTATCTGAGTGGCAGAATTGGGTAGGAACTGATGGCCTACCTTTTGAACATGGAGAGACATAACATTGGAAAAAGGTTAATAGTAACCACTGATTATACACCATATTCGGTTTCAAGGAATACCCAAGAGGACCTGGTAACCTCATCAAATTTTTCATCAAGTCTGCTAAAGCACACAGAGGCGTTCAAATGGCAGAGACACCACCGCCTAACCCTTGGATAAACCCAGGTATGAGGTCACTACTTTTAGGGGATACCAATCCCAACAACCCATGGCTCGCCATCACACAGGTCTGACAGGAAACTTTGGAACTGAGAAGGGAAATCAGGGGATCGACAAAGAGCATGGAGCCCTGTGGATCACCAATCAGACCTCAGGACAAGATCTGCAGAGTCCAGATGCAAATCTGAATGGTGTTTGGAGGCAGAGAAGCACAAGGCCAAAGTTGAGAGGTTAAAGGGAAAGGTGGAACACCTGAAGGAGACTGCAGGAAGACACAGGGAAAAGATGAGAAAAAGAGACAAAGCTCCCGCGAACAAAGCCAAGAGGATCCCGCACAACCAAGAGAGCGAGGACTGAGACATGTTTTCTGTGGTAGTTACCAGTATATCAGGTCTCTCCTGTTACCACAGTATCAAACATTCGGACATAGAGGAAACAATCATTACCTCCATTGTGTGGGTTTTCCCAGAAGCCGTCTGTCCGTAGGCAAATATGGTCCCATTGTAGCCCCCCAAAACATCTGTACACACCAAGACAAATAAAAATAGTAATATACTCAGCCACTTGGACAACATCTACATTTGCATCCCCCGACTGTCCGTCTTACCTCTGACAATCTTCTGAGCCACGGCGTTGTAGAATTGCACCTGAGTAGTGTCGGACTGGAACACGCGGTCAAAGTGGTACGGTTTCCCCTGTGCAATGATGAGCAACAGGAATTTATTTTTTATGGTTTCAGAACAGCCAAAGGCCTAATGAAAATGTCTGTATGTAGAAAATGTGTGTAAATCATTGTTTAATTGTGTGTGTTGAGTTGAGTTGCAGATCGAGCCCCTCTCTGGCTGGGAGGGAGGTTTAGGTGCGTCTCTCAGGCTGGAGGCGGAGATTTTAATGCACCAGGTGGAGAGGATCTGGCGATCAGGGGGGTTGGAGGCACTCACTCGCATGGCAGTGAAGAGCGAGCAGTGTGAGAAAGCGAGATTGAAGATCTTGGAAGGAGGAGACTGCAGGAATAAAGCTTGCAAAGACTGAATAAGGAGCCGGTGAGCTTTTGAGTGGCTGACTACTTATGGCATCAAATGCAAGATCAAATGTTCATATATTTAGTGTGTGTTTTAAAAAGTATTCAAGCTAAAAGTAATTGGATAAAAATTGATTTGTGTGTATTCAGTGGAGTTAAAATCTGCTAAAGTTTAAAGGTTAAAATCATCATTAAATAGTGTTTTAAAAATGTATTTAATTTAGTATTGGGATACTTTAAATTTGGGTTGTCTTTCTACTTATTTTGAGGTTAATTTCCAGTAGATTATAAATTAAGTATGTGATTTTGGGTATGTGAATTGATTATGGTTTCTTGGGTTATATTTCTTTGACCTTACATTCATGTTTGTATTTAAAGGTTTTTCACCTGGTTTGACCTGGACAATTTTAAAAATAAAAAGCAAGAAAGCAAAGAAGTCCGAATCTTGGTCATTGAGTGGAATCCAGTCTACACTTCTTAGCAAGCTGCCCTTTCAAGTGGGGAGCTGCAGTTTCAACCTCACAAAAGTGAGACACTTGACAGTGTGTAATACATTTCAAGCTCTGACTGCTGATGCTTTAGTCTGGTATGACCAACAATGCATGGGGGCTAATGCTTTATTTAAGTTAGCTAAGTTGTCTTAGTTTAAGACCAACTCAAACCGCTGCAGTTGGACAAGATCAATTCAAGCAAATCAATGTACTTCAAATCCAGGTATGACCAAAAGAAATCCACAAGGCAAATGCAAATCAAGCGAGCACCGATGCAGTCTGATCTGATACAGTCAGGTCCGAACAGGTAAAATTACCTGAACAATACAGCAACCTTTGATACTATGACGGAAACAACATCTAATCTGGATATTCAAACGGATTTAAATGCCTCTGCAACCCATCCGATTTGCATTGTTTGTTTCAGAGACAGTGATCGTATCATAGTATTCCTCTTCTCGGCAGCCCACGTTGATGAGAGGGCCGATTAAGACAAGCCAACACGTGTTGAATAGGCCAAATGTTAGCAGAGGGCGACATCATTGCACGCCCTCACAGCTCTGCTACACACAACGTAAACAGTTATTACTATTTCATTGTAAATTATATTTATTTGTATCACCAAGGAAACAAAACTGACGGTTACTTTCACACATACGTTCCTTCAATAATAAGCAATAAGAGGATATGTATATGGTTTGTTTTGTCTGGATTAGGTAATCACACAGGAACGGTTTCTCTTTGCAAATATACCAACACTACCATCCCTAAAAAGTTGTGCACAGCAAATTTCAGAGAATTAAATTTGTGAGAAATTTTAACTCTAAGCTGGTGTTTATATTGTCCCAATCTTGTCAGTGTTAAATCAACACTCAACGACAATTTAACTCGGAATAAGTATCAAAATTAAATCTGCTCAGTGTTAAATACACTGTACGTAGAGTTAAACTGAACACTGAGAAGTGTGACAGTTGTGTACAGTTAGATTTCAAAACGAGTTAATTTAACTCTACCAAGTGTCGCAAATAAAGTGTTAAATACGCTCTACCCAAAAACCCAAGTCCTTGACACTGAATCTAGCTCTTTTGTACAATTGACTCTGTAACAGTTGAATCAACTTTTCACAGTGTGATTTCAACTCTGCACACTTTTGCCTAACACCGGAAAATTAACTGTGTATTGCAAGTAAAACATATTTACCATAATTAATCTAATAATGTGGATAACAATATTGTTATGTACATACGTTCTGTTAAAGCTGATACTTGGTGGTTAAATGGGACTTTCCACATGACCTGAGCGGTTAGTTGTTGTGCTATTACTGGGAGTCAATGTCACGGAACAAAGCGCTCATTCAGCTGTGTTTTTATTTTCAGTACTCATAAACAGGGGTTATAGTTTGCCAAGAGAATTGTTTTTTCCCTAGCAATGTGGTGATCACCAAAAGAAGGCTGAAGTAACATGTCCTTTAAATGGATCCAGAAGGCCGTGAAGAATGATTCTCATCTTCATAAAAGCATCCACCTCGTGCACTATGGAGAAGATTCTGCCTTTGTCCCGTTTCTCCACTATTCAACTTTTGCCTTACACATGCCTTTTGTGGAGACGAATTAATCAATACATTAAAAAACACATAGATAGATAAATAAATTAAACTAAATGAATGAATTTATTTTATGAATGATAACTTTAAAAAACTAATAATGACCACACTCAAATTGCATTTCAAGGAAAATGAAATTCCAATTGTTACTCTAACATACTTGAGTATTAATAAAGAATAGACCAACTTGACTTCAATGACAATACAGTGAATTCGGAAACTTCAAGGAAACAAAAACATTTCACTTAGGTTTGATAGTACATCATATCAGGGAATATCAAGACAACTTTAAGTGAAATTTCAGAATAAAAGTCCTTTCAAATCTCACTCACCAGCTAATTTCCCTCAAATGTTATGATGGGATTAAAAGAAAATAATCTTATTGTCAGGAAATAATTGCACCTTGTTGAAAGCACCCTCCCCAGAAGGTTCCTCCAGCAATCACGAAATAAATGCTCTATGAAAAAAATCAACATTCCTCCAATTTCAGGGAAATACTTTTCATTTAAAGGTAATTCCACTTATTATTAATAGTAGATACCTAGTGTCCCCAGACACAACCAGGACATTCTGAGGATTTGAAAAGGGTGAATGAGAATGAATGAGAGTTCAAAGGGTTCTAATTTTGAAATCACACTTCAGAATGTTCTTATGATCCGTGAGAGCCTGAGGTTGACTGTTAATACAAAGTGAGATGCAGAACATTTCTTTTTACATCTAACCTGAAATTAAAAGGAGGTTGGCTCATGAATCGAATTGGAAATCTAACTTAAAATGGGTAATGAGAATGATTTGTTAGCTCATGGAAGATATTTCGAAGGAACTCGACATCATCGTCCTGATTCTGTCTGAGTAAAATATATAACTAATACATATATTTATTAGTTAATTAATCTACTCTTTACGGACTTGGACCTGTGGAACCATGTGCGTTCTTACCGTAATGTCTTGCGCATAATGGATGCGGCCTTTTCCAAGTAACTTGAACCGGTAAAATTAAATAAAATGTAACGTCTAATTTGCATCGAACCGACTCACAACGAATAGAGAGGCGCACTCACCGCGATCAGCACGCAGTCCTCCCCCTGGAACTTGGGGATGTACTTGTCTCCCCGCGCCACCTCCGAGCTGTTCAGCGGCCTGAAGCGGCACACCACATTGATGGTGGTCTCCGCTGCGGGGTCCGCCATGTCCGCCGCCTCGGTGGCTGGATGCAGCGCTGCGTCCTCCGGTCGCTGACGGAGCGAGTGAGCGGCAGCGGGGAGGCCGCGCCCCTCAGCGGGGATGGAGCTCAGCTGCTCGTCCCGCTGACTGGGTCGGAGTGGTCCTCACATCGGGGGGGCGGGGGAGTGACGACACTTACTCGTGTTCAGTCAGTCAGTTAAACAGTTTTAGATTTAGATTTAGATTTAGAGTACATATGTATTTAAGACATTAAAAAAATAACCAATTTAAATGATATATATATGATTGAAAATGGCCCCTGAGAAAAATGATATCCTGTTATTTGGTCACATAATGTATCTTCAATTATGGACGTTTGCCAGAATGTTATGATATGGGCTTGAAATGAAATACTACCAAGGCATACAAGTAAGCTATGCATTTCTTGAATATTGTACAATCCTGGGCTGTGTAGCTCGCTATATTCTTTTGGTCGTTAATTAGCTGTTGGGATTGTTAGGAAGCCTATAAAATGGTGAGTCTGATCATTCAACGTGATGTATTTACTTCTGAGGAGTATTTAGCCTGATATTATTGAACTCTTTACAATAACAATATATAGAGTGAAGACAAAACAATCTTGTTTGAGTATTTATACTTTCATTTGACTTCACCAGCAGACAAAAACGAGATGTAAAGGTATAACAGTATTGAAAATATATTTTGTCAAAGAAGACCATGCAGGCTTGACAAAAATAGTAAAAAAAAAGAATGAGTCTACTGTTTAAAGACGCCCCCAAGTCCAAATACCACAGTGTAATCATATCAGCTTTTCATTTGATTCATCAGATATGTGTCATCAAATAACACAATGTATAAAAAATGTACAGGAGGTTTTGGGAGTTGCTGTTGGTCTGGGGATACAATATGGGTGTAACACAGGAGTAGACACAAGCGCAGAGCGCAGATTTAATCAACAACAGTTACACAGGGAGTAGGCTATCCAGTAGACAGGCAGGGGGTCGAAATCCAGGAGCAATGAGATAGGAGAAGGTACCAAAAGGGATCAGGCAGGAGGCAACGAGGTCTGGAACAAACAAGGAGTCTTCAACGGGGGAACAAACAGGAGATCCGAATAACGCTCAGAATGTGATGTTGACTAAGACTTCGCAAGGACCACAGAGGGATAAAGGGTATATATACAGACCAGCTTGATGGGGAACCAGACACAGGTGTGTAGGGATGAGTGGGCGTGCACAACAGACAGACACACAATGGAACAAACCAACACAAAACGGGACAGACCAACTAGACAGTAAACAGGGGGGAGTTTGGGGACCAGATTTGAAGGCCTCAGTACTCCGGGAAAGGGGATCGCTGGATCGTGACACAGGGATAAAATATGCAGGGCTACAATATGCAGAATGTATAAAATATGCAAGGTTACAATATGCAGTAGAGGGATAATATGCAGGGTTACAATATGCAGTAGAGGGATATAATATGCAGTAGAGGGTTACAATATGCAGTAGAGGGATATGATATGCAGTAGAGGGATATAATATGCAGTAGAGGGTTACAATATGCAGTAGAGGGATATAATATGCAGTAGAGGGTTACAATATGCAGTAGAGGGATATAATATGCAGTAGAGGGTTACAATATGCAGTAGAGGGATATGATATGCAGTGTTTGTAGCAGCCAGCCGAGGGCAGCCAAGACCTTTCACATGTTGTGTGCAGCCAAGGAGAATCTTAAGGATGTCAGTTCATTCTGCAATGAAAAAAAACTAAAACATCTGAGTAAAAGCAGGTTTTTCTGTATCATATAGATCTCAAAACCACATACCTGCAGCGACAAAAGAGACAATCCAGGCAAACAGTCACGTGTTTGCCTGGATTGTCTCTTTTGTCGCTTCTGGACCTTAATAGGTCTTTTTGAAAACTAGTGGAAAGAAAACCATATTTATTTAACGGAGGTATCACACTTGACAGTACACAGGGAAGTCAGAGGATAATGTTCCTGCAGACATGTGGTTTCTAAATGAAAACCCATAAATACGGATTTGAGAGGTCAAAGTACAGTACGTACAGAGGCTAAAACTACAGTATGGTGAATATTTATTTCCCGTTGAACGAGTTAAGGACAGGGCAGCAGCTAGCATTCCCAAACCAGCTGAGGAAAGGCTTCAGTGTCTTTTTACTAGTAATTGTTAGTTTCGATAGAAGGGGTTGCCTTGTTTACCTCCCCTGGTGATTAAAATACTGAAAGAGGGAGGGGAAAAGAGGGGGGGGGGGGGGGGGGGAGTAAGAGAGAGAGAGAGAGAGAGAGAAAAAGACAGGACCTGGTTTCTGCAATCTTGCATCTGGTTGCTAAGTAACAGTCTCCAAGGGCAGAAGAAGCCCCTCTTTGAGGTTGTGCGCCTCCAAAATGAAATGTTTCTCAGCCCACACCAGCCCCCCCAGCAAATGCTGGCGAACCCAAAACAGAGTCACAGCGGCGATTGGACGAGGGAAGAGTAAGACTGTGGAGAACCTCCATCGTTCAGCCCGTCCACCGCCCACAAGCAGCTGGATAACTGAGGCAGCTCTAGAAAACAGCTTGTGTATCATGAACTTCACGGGGCAAAACAGCATGACATCATATTGACATCAAATGACGTCTGGGGGTGAATTTTGACATAAAGAATCTTTTTAATAAGCATTAAAAATAACAAAACCGATTTAACAGATTTAACATTGAAAAGAAAGGAAGGAACGTTCGAGGGAACGTTTTTGTAAAACATTAAATCCTCATATTTTTCAGCTTATTTTAAGCATACTCATTAAATATGAATTGTTTGAGAACCCATGGTTCCTCGTTGGTGTTACACTGCAGCACATTGAAGCTCCAGGGGGCGCTGAGTGTGCCGATCCATGCGTAGACGTCACTAATAGGCACAGACGGTTAGTATTGCATCGCTATCAATGTCAGCATCGCAATGGCCACCTAAGAAAGGGGAAATGAAGTATTTTGCAGAGATGAAAACGGTTGCACCACAGCAGTCTGACTGTATCTCCAGGGAGGAGGAGGAGGATGGAGATCGACCTCCAACACCAAGGAGAGATGCAAATGTAGTTCATTTTATGTCAAGACCCGTGCTGATTTAGACAAACTCGGTCTATTATGAGAGGATCTGCGCAGAGACCTTTGCAAGTAATAAAACGCTGTAAACAAAGAGACCTAAAACAGATTAAGAGATTAAGCGGAGGAAATCTTAGCAAAATATTTGAGATATCACGTAATTAACGGATTGGTTTCACCCCTGGTTCAACCAGGCTGATTGGACATACCAAAATGAGCTTCACAGGAAGCTCTTCAAGAAACGATAATATTTGAATATGAAATATGAATAAGGGTAGCAGAAAATGGATCGTAGAGGTTGTGCAAGACAAAACTATGATTGAACTTCAATAATTGTGTTTTGTGTGTGTGTGTGTGTGACCATGTTAATCTTAATGGTGTGACTTTTCCTCTGCAGGGGACGAGGTATTAGACCGGTGGACTAAACCATTTTAGAGGCTTAAGGGGGGTATCGTTGTAGTCATCTTTACTAGCCATCCCCAATGGTGTCCATTCACTTGTATTTAGACACATGAAGCAACTCACTTACAAAAGAATTTCACTCAGTTGGAAACAGAAGCCTAATGTCAGATGCTCACCTCAGGACCCCCTAAGAATCAGGTCAGACTCAACAGCGAAAGGCAGTTCCACCACGGAACTTAAATCACAGTCATAAAGCATGTTTACAGGCCGGACAACCCTGTGACGACAAATGTAGTAAATGTGATTTGGACTGCTGCTTGATTCTCTCTTTAACCTCAGTAACCTTTGAATGAGGTTGCACCAGACATCCATTCTAGTACAAATCACGCAATGAATTCTGGCCTCTTCAAAGAGTAATATTTAAGTTGATCATGACGCTTATCAAAAAAACTCCAGGAACTCCAGACTGAGAATGATTAAAAAGTGTTATCAAAGAAAAGGTCGGGAGGAGTCTATATGCAGATTGGATAAGGCGCTCGGTACATATAGGGCAATCTTGTAACTTGAGTTTTCTTAAAAAGTGATAGCTTATCAGTGTTGGACTCAGAGATTTTATAGGGTAGACAACCGTTATCAATGCTACTTCAGAAGGGACGTAAACCTTTCACAACAGTGTCAATAGAGGCGCTTTTTGTGGTCAATAATTCACAGAGGAACATAAGGAGATGCGTCAATCTCCCAAACACACTGCAGGTCAGCAAGCTCAACAAAGAAGAAAGAAGTTCATTACAAATAAAATACATACAGTACTCGTTTATTCCTTTAGACAAACACGTATTGTTGTTCATCATATTTTCTTCTGTACATTTTCAGTAGTCGTTACACAAGATAGTATTTCAGCAGAGTTTGAAAGCACACATGGGGGGAAAGGAAACCGATCTTTTGGCTTGTAGGTCAGTGGTGTTCTCCAACCTGCGGATATTGATACTAAACCTGAGGTCACACGGTACTCACAAATACCCACGGTTTGTTTGAGCTTACCTGTGTGAGTGAAACACAACGAGTGGTTGGTTCCACGCAACATATTCATGAGTGGAAAAATCAAACACCTCAATTGCAATTACAGTTTCCATTCAAAGTCTGCGACGCTTGTGTCATCTACATTGCCTCGTTTTACTAGAATCCTGTTGCAGTGGCATTCTGAAGGCCGGCTGCACGCACCATGCATGTAAATCTTGTATTAACAGATAACGGTGGTGATATAATTTTCTCACTTAAGCGCAACGTGATGGGCTCAAGAACGGAAACTAGTCTTGTTGGGTTAAAACAGGCTAAAAGAAGAGACAGTGCTCAGCTGCATCAGGAAATACGTCTTCTAGAATCACGTGTATCACGTACGTCCAACATTTATCTTCACGTCTCTCTGCTAATAGCTTATTTTTCGTGTCTGTTTGATGCTGTAAAGTTTCATTCTGTAAGATTAGTTTACCCAAAAATCTGGCAGGACGGGGTGAGTGAATAGAAACAAAAACATTTTTCGCCTATAAAATCCAAACAATGAACTGAGGAAGTTGAATCAAGGCGTAATTAAATAAAGTGTTCTGCTGCATAATTCTTTAGAGTGGGCAGTCATGGCTGCACCCCTCATGAATGCTGTGCCTCACACTTTTCTAAAAAGCCTTTTATTGCCCGTCTTATACTGCCATTGACTGCCTGCTGACCTGTCATTCACTACTCTTCAAAGTTTACATCATTACTGTAGTTGTGGGTTCAAACTGAACACGCATGCGAAGCATATTTACATACCTGCATTCCACTGTGTGTATTAAAGGAGCTCTAAAACGTCAACTAAATGCTGTATCACGGGTGCTAGTTTGAATCCACTGCATTGTAATATTAAGATTACACCCTCACACCACTCTGGGTTTACTTGTAATTTAGTGCAAGATTGTGTTAACAGCCCCACTTAAGGTTCAGTGCAGAACCACACAGAAGTCAAAGGATAATGGCCATGCTTCATGACAATAACGCACAAAATAAAAAACACATCAAAGCACCACACTACACTAGCCACTCACACAGAACTCGCGTACTGATGCACAGGCTACTGTAACTGCATAAAGGCACCAGAGTGTGTTTCAACCCGAACCCCAGGCCGGAGGACTACAGCCTGGTTATATTGCATACGCAAACCCCTCTGAAAACCCACAAGCCAAACTATTGATTTCTTTTCTCTTCTTTTTCTCACACACTCACACACATACACACACACACACACACACACACACACACACACACAGGAAGCATACAGAGCAGGAAGATACACCCATTTTTTTCTTATTTAAACATTCACGTGTTAAAACTAGCAAGTACTTAAGATTACAGCAACAAAACAGCGGTACAGTTTCAACTGAGAGGACTATCGTTCTTTCTTGGCTGTCCTCGTTTGGACCCACAGTGTAAGGAGTTATCTTTCAGACCAGGTCATAGTAGAAGAGAAGCAGAAATGAGGGGAGAAATCCCCCCATGGTCAAGCATTAGTTTCACTTCCTGATCTGCTTCTGACTGAGAACTACACCTTTTGGTTGTGTGGAATCGGGTTTAGTTACCGTTCTACTTGGAAGGAATGAAGTCTTCATTCAGTCTGATAAAAGCAAAAAAAAAGAAAAGGCTTCCTTATGAATAAAGGTTAGATTATTGATCATATGCGTTCCTCTAATGCACATGCAACGTCTCAGTAACCAAAATAACAGTAGCAATAGAGATTGAACGTGTAATGAATTTCCGAACTGAACCTGGAAGCTGAACGAATAATGTTCCAACGACCCCAAGGTCCCCCCATTAGCCCAGATGCTAACAGTAGAGGGACATCCTACTTCGTCGCATGGCTTCGCTGATCAGATAGGCCGGGCTGATCTCCGGTTCCTCTGTCATTACCACAATGTTCTGCCAGTCTCCACTCTGGTTGGACTTCTTGATTGTATCCACCACGCAAAGAGCGTAAAGACAGTCCTCAAAGGTAGCGGCCATGGTCAGAGGCCTCCCGTCCCACGTCCTCCTGTCGTCCTGGTCCTGAAAGGCCTGCCGCACCGCCTGGATCATGCGGATCGTTCCGGTGAGATACGGGGACGGAATGTCGCTGAAGGCCTTCTCCGGTAAGGAGGCCCTCTCAAGAGACGTTGTGTCTTTGAGCAAGAGTTCAGGACCTCCACTGCTTTCTTCTCCCGCGCAGTTCTTCTGTCCGTACAGGTCACCCCCCGTGACCGTTAACCTTCCCACCGTCCCCACAACAATCACCTCTTGCCGAAACTCTCCGGGCATGTTGAAGTTGAGCGTGACGGTACAGCACGCGCCCCCCTCCAGCGCCATCTGGAAAGTGCAGAAGTCGTCACTGGTGATCTGACGGATCCCTCGGATGTGATCAGTTTGCTTGACGAAGGTCTTGAGGAAGCCGTGAACCTTTGCTGCACGCTGACCAGTCAGAAACGTAAGCAAGTCAATGATGTAAGTGCCCACAGAATGCAGACCGCCGCCTCCCATCAGGTCATCGCAGCTCCAGTTGTATTTCTTACCCAGGAGACTCCCGCTGTGGACCTTTAGGGTAAAGATTTAAAACCAAATTAGATATTTTTTTACCTGAATGGGATCAGGAACAACAAAGTATCTGAGGTCAAATCTTGAGTCAGAAATAAACCAGAAATAAAGAATACATTTATAGATGTAGGCATACCTGGGCTTCACAGACCAGTAGCTCCCCGATGTACCCCTCTTCTAAAAGCTCCTTCATTCGGACAAAGGCCGGCAAGAAACGTAACACATTTCCCATAATGCTAAGCAACTTGGGGTAGTACTGGGCCGCTGACATCATTCGGAAGGCATCCAGAGGAGTTGCTGTCCGGTCGCAGATTACGTTCTTTCCAATACCTACAAAGAGAGACAAGACAGTTGGGAATGAGCCATGGAAGCTTTTCAAATTAGCTGATGAATTTCCGTTGTTCAGTGACAATTTTCAGCTTTTCTGTCAATATTGAGATGAATGAGGAGGTAATGAACATCAGAGAAGGAGAGAGAGAGAGAATGTGCTCAGCCATGATGTCTCCTTGAGCATGAAAACTTTCTGTGATGGAATATTGCAGAGCTGTAATGGGAGGCGAGACAGAAACATTTGTTTAATTTATACTGGACAGTCAGGATAGAGTGACAAAATCTAGAGAAAATGTCAGTCAATGTTTCTCAATTTTAGCGACTGTGTTCAATGTGCCATAATGTACCACATGCAAACTATGACTTTACAAGTATATGAGGTCCACGATGGACATTTATGGGGCAGCGGCATGCTAAAATGTAATGTAATAGTAGCACAAGTAGATAATAATCATGTCAAGTCTGGCCAATATACAGCAATATCAACAAGAGGGTTACATTAGCAAAGAATATCCTGGACCTGTTTCAGCCTGTCCACTGCAAACAGTCTCTAAACCCTCCCGTTGAAAAGCTTGGGAGAGTGTTTACGTGCTGCTAGGTGAAAATAACCAGACATGCATTCGCCAAACTAACATCTTAGTCCTGACTTTAACCATTTTCCCCAGTAAGTAGTGATCAACTGGTATATATGGTTGGTGAGGACCTATTGGGTGTTTGTTTTGGTTTTACAAATGGGATGGTTTGTCAAATGTTCGGCTAACTTCTTCCCCTGGGATAAAAAGCGGCGCCCAACCAAACACTGGCCACGTCAGCTCCTGGACATACTAGTCCAAAAAGACTGGGGAATTTTTTAACTTTAAGAATGTGTTATTTGAATTGAATAAAAATAAAAATGGATCCGCTAAACCTCTGGTCATGCGTCAGACTGCAGGATCTACAGGATTGATTTTCACCACTAGATCGAAATATCTTTGTACCGAGTTCACTGCTCACAATGAGCTCCAGTTGACAGGGAGTCAGAAAGCATATGCACAGTATAGGGGCATCACTACACACACATTCCTGGAGCCCCCGAATGAGAAAAGCAGCGTGCAGTCTTCCCTTCCAGTCCTCGCTGAGGGTAGTGTGTGGGGGTGGGGGGGCTGAGTTAGAAGTGAAACTTGCTAAACTTGTTACCAATACTACTAATCTACATTAGCTTGAATCGACTAGCCCAGAAAATTAATCCCTCTGACCCAGTTCTTAGGAGCGCCGTGAGAGCCCCCACTTGCCGCCCCATCCCCTGCAACTAACAACTAACCATAACCCGCCCGACAAGCAGCACAGAGACTGGAGGGATTGTCCCAGCCAAGGCCCTGCTGGGTAAACGCTAAATGCTCTTGACTATTTGAGCCTAACGTCTTAACAGAACAATAGCTTGGATAGCTTTTGGAATGCCCAAAGACAGATTTTGTTCTCCCACAGCAATTAATGTCATGATTTGGCCAAAATACATACAAGCTTCAGGCAAACACACAACTGAAGCCATTTCAAGGCTTTGAATACAGTGTCAGAGCAACTCATGACTGCAGCGCAACCTTTACTGATATAAACAATCCTGAAGCTTCTCAAAACGACCTTCTGCTCCTTAAGTCCAATGCTCTGGAAGGTCAAGGCTGGCTTAAACGTCTCATCCTGTTGAGTCATCCTAACTATTCATCAGACTCTCAGTGAGAGGACACGTTGTTTGTGTATGTGTCCGATAGATTATGGATCCACCTGAGCTCGAGGCAAAATCACAGAAGTAAACCAGCATTTGGGAACCTTGAACTAAACAAAACCAAGTGGAATTAATGACTGACATCCCACATTGGTTTCCTGGGTGGTTGGTTTTTTGAAGTTAGAACACACTGTGAAAGGCTTACAGTTGTAAGACAAATGACACGGCAACGCCTGTTAAAGACACACAAAACATACCGGATGTTGGAGGGAATCACTGTTGCCTAAATAATAACTTCACAGTTTCCACTGATTGATTGCAATGTCAGCAGTAATGTTGACCATATACCAGGCTGTCATGTTGAAAAAGGAGGGAAAAGTGACTTACTTTACCAATAAATCTATATTACAACCAGCACCTGTGGTCCACAAGCTTTGGGGAGTGACTGAAATAATGAGAATTCTGAATAGGAAAAATTACATTACATGTCATTTAGCTAACGCTTTTATCCAAAGCGACTTGCATTCAACCATATGGATACAAACTCAGAAGAACAAGAAACAAGAAAGTGCAATTTCCTCAAATAAGCCAATTTACAATTTCCTATAGATAAATTATACTTGTAACGCCACTTAAGTGCTACAATTTGTTAGTCTTTTAGTTGAGGTAGAGTCTGAAGAGGTGTGTCTTTAGTTTGCGGCGGAAGATGTGAAGGCTCTCTGCAGTCCTGATTTCTTCAGAGAGCTCGTTCCACCATTTCGGAGCAAGGACAGCGAAGAGTCGTGATCTAGTCGAGTGTTTTGCTCTCAGTGAGGGAGGGACGAGTAGTTTTGCAGATGCAGAGCGGAGAGTGCGGGTCGGGATGTAAGGTTTCATGATGTCCTGGATCCGGAGCTGGACCCGATCCATTCACAGCAGGATCGTGTTGTCGCAGTAACGTTGGGAGTCAGGGAGAGTTGGCTGTCGATTGTGACGCCGAGGTTCCTAGCGGTTAAAGTGGGCGTTAACACGGAGTTGCCAAAGTTGACCGTCAGATCCTGAGTTGTAGAATCTTTTCCCGGAAATAGAAGTAGTTTGTCGGGGTTGTATTAGTCCTATAAGGCATCAGTATACTGTCACCAACGCGCGTTTGGAGGGTCAACAGAGTCGCAGGTACCTGGTAGCAGGTATATGATGAGATACGGTGGTGTGTTCAGCCAACTTGTCACACAGAGCATTAAAGTCAAAGCGAATGGCAGCGTGAGCAATCTGTGAATTACAGTGAGCCCACCCTTTAACCTAAAACCTGGCTTATGGTCTATTTTAGCGTAAATGGGACATTAACTTAAAACTAGTGGTGACACCATAAACCCATGTCCACAATGATTGTTGAAGAAATAAATCAAGTGAGAAGAGTCATTTTCATTTTCTGTACGGTCTGACTTATTTTTACCAGAAGAGGAGTCGCTACCTGCTAGTTATTAGAGAAAAAACAAATTTCAAAAATTGCTAAGCTTGGTAGAACCGGTGAATGTCACGCTTGCTCTTGGCATCCAATCAAATCAAGCAGGAGGCGGGGCATTACTACGTTCCCAATGCCGTCCTGTTTTGAGGGCGGTAGATGAGGTAGGGCTGCCTAGCTAGGTAGCCGTTGGACTGTATGAGAGCTACTAAGTGTGTGGAATGAAAGGAGAGTTCATAAAGCATGATGCAAAAGTTTCATGCAGGCTTTAGGAAGCGAGGGAGTGATTGCAGGAGGGTTTATAATCCATCATTTGCATCTGATCTGATGCGCACGTATGGACTCTATGCAATCAGCCCCCCAGAAGCTTTGGGTTAGTGTAATTCTGTGACAGTAGCTCTGTGTTAGGCTCAGCTCCATCAGTAAAGCTCCTGGCCTAGTGGGAGGACGGTGAGGGAGCAGAAAAAAACCTCCGGCGCAGCAGTCTCTCAACATTAATAATTCATGAGCAGGACAAATCTAACCAAAAGAGTTCAAAGCCAAAGTGAGAGACCGAGACAACAGCAATCTTACAGATGTTATACAAATATCACAGCAGAAAAGAAAAAAATATTTAAAAAAATAGACTCAAAACACACTGGACTTAATGATGACATGCCTGTATTTATGAGGAACTGGGTCAGATAATCCAGGAAATCTGCTGGCTGGTTTGCTGGAATGATTATAGCGTGGTGTACAGATGCAGAGCTTAACACTGTCGGATACAACGCGTCGCCTAACCAACTTCTTCACATAGCAGCATCTGCATATAAATGCACGCACATCTTTCACCACACCTTTTAACACAATACATATAAAGTACATCAATCCGAATGGTGGTCTTAAACATCACGTTAATTTGTGTAAACGGGATTAAGCCATCTTTGTCAAAAGTAAGGGTGTTTTCATACTATGTTGCCAAACAAACAGAACAATACAGTTTCCTAACGTTATTAGATTTCGTCTACAGTCGCACACACACACACACACACGTTTCTGAAATTAATCTGCCGCCCGTGTTCAGGATTAGGCATTTTACAACACTGTATTACGAATGGAGCTACAGCAAAGCCAGAACCCGGCCTCCTCCGCCTCCGATTGGCTGGTATTTGTTGCCTTCATTGGTTGGATTGGTTATGTCCATTTCAGGGCCCGGGGACACATTAAACAGGCTTTGCAAACAAGCTCACTAGTTATCTTTATTTTGAATCTTTAGAATGTTCTATGGTTAGGAGTACCAGGCACACACAGATACAGACTTTCTAAATGTCAGGCGTATTGGTGTGAATTTTTTAACACGCTTGCTGAGACAGAAGCAGAGACAAAAGGTCACACTTTTTGGTAAGGGACACCTAGAGACAGAGAGAGAGAGACAGAGAGAGAGAGAGAGAGAGAGAGAGAGAGAGAAAGTGGTTCACACTGCCACATGTCACGTCATCATGACACGGTCTTAAAAAATATGATTTACAATTGAGGTTATTTATTTCATTCTTTTTACTCACTGATTTGAACGTCTTTCAGGCTCTTTCCTCATAGGATGAGACGTAACTTTAAATGTTTTGGAATTGGAATGGGGATCAGAATTGCGTTCGACTCCAGTGGCTGCAGCGTCTTCACTGAGCACCAATGTCACTGCAGCACGACTTTAACGTGAGCATGACGGGGCTTTAAGTACGTGGCACAGCGAGCAGCAACACTGCATGGGATCTTTTTGTGCGCTCACAACTCTTGATGGCGTAATGCTGAGGAAGGAAAGGCTGGAAGTGGCGGCTGTGCAGGAAGGTCGGGTTGGGTTTAAGTAGAGGCGAAGCAGACATATTT